CGTAAGTTAAGTTATGTACACGTTTTGCCTTGTTCATGGGGCATACATTAACTTAGTTCTGAATATTAAAGATGTCGTTGTACCTATATACGTAAATCACTCTTGTGCAATTTCTATAGGCCGATGATACGCGTTCAGTGCCAATCATATACGCGACCGCTATTCGATCACGAGAATACATGAATGGTATAAGAACCATCATTACATAAGTCGTGCGTAGTGACACCTTTGTTAGGCGCAGATATGCAGATACGCAGTTGCATACACATCATTTCAGCAACCTTCTGCATTCTGCATACCTCCTAAATCCCATTAGTTGATACAAATCGCGTGCCTGAAACTCCTGTTTTATGGTGCATTGTGACCCTAACCCTAACCCTATTTAGAAAAAATTAAATTGTTGTAAAAATTATTTGTTGTTATGAAATTGTTGTAAATAAATCATGTAAATATTTGCGTTAATTGGAAAAAAATAGTTAAATGGATAAAGATAGAAAAATACAGAAAACAGGTAAATAATAAAAAATCTGATGGGATTCGATCCAAGGACATATGAGCCGTAATTCTGTGCTGTAGCCGTTGGGCTATCCAGGCTTATTGGCTTTCTAGATTATGGATGTGCCATAAATATGAGAACACTGTGACATCATTGAGGCAGTTTAGGAATCCATGTTTAACCCTCCTCTTGAGGGTCAAAAAGTTATCAGACACTTACTCTTCGCACGTCAGTGGTCGAATAAAAACCAAAAAATACTGTTACCTCGCGCACACATCTATGTCCGTGAATCTCGATAAACGTGGCAAAATCCTGCTTCAATCTGCCACTCTCGTCTGATCTGAGCCAATCAACCGCCTCCTCAGGTGTCAGTGACTGGAAAACCTCTGCTTTGCCACAATCTACTACTGCTATCGCCATCTTTCGGAGGGCAGCTGGAACGTCCGCACTGATTACATCTGTGCAGGTAGATAGCAGCAAGGCAACATCTGACATCACTTCGGAGGGTTCTGTAACCGAACATGTGGTTGATGAGTATTTTATGTTTTGATAACCGCGTAGTGGCAATTATGGTAAAATATAAAAATCAATTAGCAGCTTTCTTAAAGAATATAAACGCATGTTCTGCACTTTATGCATTATTTGAGAGAACACCACAAACAAATGTGATATTAATTGCATTAGTGTCTGCATTTTTTTTAGTACGGGGAATCACGGTCTTCCGACAAGCTGACTTAAACAGATAATTATTATGGTTATTATTGAAGTAGCCTCAGGACAGACGATTAACAACGCATAAATAGAGATGATCCTGAGTATAGTACTGTGCCGATAGTGTACCTGAGTCTTTCTTCTTCACAACTTGTGTGACAGTATGACTCGCTATGTTAGATGCATACGAGCCTTGAAGGTGGCTGTACCAGGCCTGTAACATATTGAAATCTTTATTAGCCGTTAGAAAGGTGGATAATTTCGTACAGTTCCAAGTATATACTATAAATAAATAAATTAATATTCAATTGCTGAAAAGAAATTAATGCGATGGTGACGGAAAGGAAAAGAGATGGAAAAAGCGTGTCGAGATATGATGTATAACTATAGCCCTTTCACTGTGTAATAACATTCGATCAACCCTCGTACGCACCCCAGAACTTATCCTTAATAAGTCCTCAATTTGGCGATGTAACGTGAGTGGGTCAGTGGTGTTGAAGTCCGTGCTGATGCTTCTAACAATGGTGTTACTTCGCTTCAGGTTGCGCTTAGTGCTGAATGCGTCCTAGTAACGAAGGTCACATCCGATAAGCACGCAAGGTACACAATACATAACTAACGCACTCACATAGCAAAGATAAACGTAAAGAAAAATAAGTAAATAAACCGTTTAATAAAATTTAACTAAATCGTAAAGTAAACAAACAAAGTAAACGTATAAGCAAAACCAAAAACAGGATGTGTAGGTATACTTACTGTATACAAACAGAGAACTCCTAAAAACTTTCTGTACCACGGGACATAGGTGGTTCGGTAGCGCTTGTGAATTTCTTCCAAGTATTCGTCTCCCGTGGAGCCTCCAAACAGTAAAATATCCACAGTATTCTTCATGCCTTTTGTATCCAATCCCATTGTGTACTCATTCGCGTAGTACGTTCCCTATAAATTTTTTTTTAATTTTTTAGAATTTCTAAATTCCTTTCATTATTTTTTCAACGTCGAATTTTGAGCAATGAATTGTCAGGGCCGTGGAGTAGTTCTTTAGTTTATCAAATTATCAGTAAATATTTAATAATACGATTATATGAGCGTGGATACAAATGAACATTCATCATTGCCGGAAGAGCAGATAAACAATATCTGATATTTCTATGATTTTTTGCACCTTCGCAAAATCTGTGACTGAATAATTAATAGGAGAAATACCTTCTGTTCCTTATACTTGTTGACGTATTGTTGCTAATATGTAGATGTGAAAGTACTCTGTACTAAGCGATACCAGCGAACATATCATTAAATATTTTTTCAAGCTAAATCGTCTCGGCTTTGCTACTATCTGTGCTAGTTTTGTAAGTTTTTGTGTATTAGATCCAGTAATGGTTATTGCCATACTTACGCTGTACATGTTGAGGAAAAAATGTTTGCAGAAGGTTGATCCGAACACGTCTATGTACGCATCCGCAGTAATTCCCGATGGCCACCGCGTGATCTAGAAATCATACATACAGATAATACGCTCAAATATACGCATGTTAATTTTCGAATACATCTTGGATATATAGTTTTTGAGTAGTTCATATATTTAATAATTTTATAACAAAGTGATATAATCATCGCGATGAACTTCTCAGTGAATCTAGACTACACGAGATGGTTCAATTTCTTTGTAAAACTTAACGCAGTACTTCTCATCTCAGAGGTATATGTGTGTGCCTGGCTGTCTGTATGTACGCGTGCCTGCATGGGTGTGTATCTACCTATATACGTATGTGCGTGTACGTGAGTATGACCGACGTGCGTGTGCGCGTGTGCGTCTGTCCAGCTTCATTGGGCTTCATTTCTCACCGGGCATCACTGCAGTTTCTTTTGATAGTTAAATCAGAAAAAACGGTAAGATGTCAATGTGTGGGGACGGTGCTCGGAGTCGACGAATTGAACCTGATCTATATACGCACTATATCACGACTCATTGTTTACACCTAGCGTTGATCTATATACGCACTATATCACGACTCATTGTTTACACCTAGCGTTGATCTATATACGCACTATATCATGACTCATCGTTTATAGCCTACCTAGCGTTGATCTATGTACGCAATCATGACTCATTGCTTATACCTACAGCGTCTACCCGTCTTACATCTTGGGTGATGCATAGACCATAGATAGCAGACATGGTCGTGCGTGGTTTCACGACATATGAATTAATCTCGTAATAATTGTTCTCTATTCTAGCCTAGTGTTCTCTGCTGCTGCTGCTGCAAATCGAATAATAACCACCTGTCCTATCCCGGCGACGTTAGTGACGAATGCGTCTAGTGTAAGAGGTGTCATCGCCTGAGGCATCATCTCCCTGCGGTCCATACAACGAAATAGATGTTAATAAACGAAGACGAAAGCTTATGTGTAGCGAAACAAATTCCGTTAAGAATAGAGGACGAATGACCTTTTCGTCAAACGACAATTATAATTTTTTTCCGATACAGGTTTGGCACGTAGTAGAATTGTCACTCACACTGTGAATAGCTGAGAGATCTCGTTAGCGTGGTACTAGTACTCTCAGCATTAAAGAACGATAGTTTCTAGAAAGGGTTATTCTAGTAGTATTGGTAGTAATAGAAGGACTATGTACTAAAGTTGAAGAAAGGCAGCGACAAGAGGGATACAAGTCCAAGCGACTATAAAACTATTTACCCGCTATGCGCGTGTGTATACACTTCATCATCAATTAACAGCGGTCCATCCTGCTCATGCATCAGCTCGTATTCTGACTCCATGTTGAGGGACGTGATTGGTCGAGCTTGCAGCAGGTAGATCTGCCCGTCTTTCACTGCAAACTCTATATCTCGCGCGTCGGAGAACGATTTCTCAACCTGTACAAAATACAATGTTAGTTTCTAGCTGCGTACATAGAAATGAAAAAATACTATTTATATGTGCCCATGCAAAGCTCAATAAAAATGCGATATCGAATTATTGTAGATTACCACGTTTCGTTACCTGCATCTGTATGAAACAGATAAGTATTCTCACAGATTTAGTTGATTTACCTGTATGCCAATGTTGCCCAGTTCCAAAGCTGATTCGTCTGCTAGGCTACATTCACCTTTAGCGTCTGTCTCTATTTCCTGCACTCCTCCTGACTCTGCAATCAACAAAATAATTGCTATCACTAGATGTACATGATTTTCAGTTATAGCATTCTAAGAGCCAATCTTAGTTAGATAGATAACTGGGTAGGGAAATATTTATACATTAGTGTCCGTCTTTGTTTCTGTTGTTCCATTCGATATAATCAGAAATTGTTTAATGCTATGCTGATGTATGCAGTCATAATGCGGTATGTGCTATGCTTCACACGAAAATATAATCGAATACTAATTTACCTTCACTGATACCCCGTAGAGACTGCAAATTTGACCCCACATCAAACTAGTCCGGACCAGGCGCGCGCTAAATATTTTCAGTATGTACACGCTATCCCGGGCTAAATACGCGCTAGTCTATGACGAAGTCTAAGTTAGCCGCACGAATGGAGGTGGACCAGGCCCGCATCGAAGCGTGCTAAGTTATCCAATACTAATGTCGGGTAATAATGAGACAAATAATGAGAGCTGTCGATGACAAATGTCGAATGAGTTACATGTTACGCCCTTCCAGTGGAAACAATGATTTCCGTTGTTAGTATGGTAATTTAATTGTAATATTTTCATTTTATTTTCACATTTATAGTATTTTTAATTATAATTATGTATAATTTTCGCGGAATCTCACTTACCACTAAGATCTATTCTGACGCACTTGCTTCCTATGATTCTCTCTTTGATGCTAAGCTTATCGTAGAAGCTACGATGCAGGAATATTGTATCTGGTTCCGTCACTCCCGAGACAACCGCCTGGAAGCAAATACGATTATGGATATTCTATCTATTTATTATCTATTATTATTATTATTTACTAACTATTTATTATTTCTATGAGAAAGATAACGGGTTTTCAGAATCATAAAGATTGACTTATTTTCATTTCATAGCTCATTTTCTTCTAGATTGAGAATGAAACTGCGATGTATTCGTGATATTTGATTTCAGAATCGAAGCATGGAATAAACGAGCAGATTCAAAAGCATTTTCAAAATATCTGTTCTTGATTTAGCTTCATCATGTTGAACAACAGTGTCTATGCTTGTTTTGGAGTCTATCCGTATGGTCGTTATCTCAAATACTCTGTTTGGAGGAATCTTTCCTATAGGGATACGCATACTCACCTCGGTAGTCTGTGTTGTAATGTACCTACGGGCGAATTTCAGTAGCAGTCTTATACGCTGGATTGTACTTCCTCACCTAACCTACACATCTCTTTCAAATTCTCACGCTCACTACCCGCCTTTGTTCTCATTTTAATTTCTTGGATTTATTGGGGATGGTTTCGTCAATTTACCTCCCCGATTCCGTATGACACGTTGATGGACATGACGCCAGGGTTTCCAGACACTGGATCTCTGGTGAAGAGAACACCGGCAGCGTCTGCCTTCACCATCTCCTGCACGCAGACGCCAACATCTGCTGCTACAACCTGACCGTGGTTCCTGCACGGAAGACATTCCAATGCAAAAGACATTGCGTGATGTTTTTGTTTCCTCGTGATAAAAGTTTTTGCCATTATATCTGCAGCAGTTATATTCATTATTAACTATCACTGTGTTGTATTTAAGTTAACGACAATGTAACTTATTATTTAGATGATTTCATAGTTCAATATATAGTCGAATATACTCTTAAAGGTGAGACGATTATACCTCCTGTACTCAACAGCTTGGTGTGTGAACGAAGATGCCCAACACTTTATGATAGCGTGGCAAATCTGAAAATGGTATCGCAAATATTATCAAATGTAGTATAATATGGCTGATCTCAGTCATTACATAAAATACGTCTGCAAAGCTGGTACTTGTCACGCGTAATTGTTAATACACAATAGTAAAAACACTTTATAATAGCGTAGGAATTCTGAGAAAAAAGGTATCGCAAGAATTTTGGTACTACCTGGTAGTATATACCTGATCTTCGCCATTAGCGTAGGCAAATCTGAAATCGGTCTGCTAGCATGCTTTATGGAGGCTAACTTATTAAGCTATGATTGCTAACGCTATAATCGTCGACTGCAGGGGCATATATGTGTTAGGTATGACTCATTTACTACAGTTTACGGCTCGATATATGCGCATCAATACCTCCTTTATGCCCGCGACCCCAAGAAATGTCTCCATCTGCCCCGCGAACGAGGCTTCACTACCATCTTCTCCTGTAAATATTAGTCAGAAATATCTTTAAAAATCATTCACGATGTTTTATGCCGTTTATGAATTCTTTTTAGTAAAAATTTCGCTTAACTGTGCAACATACCGACATCAGAAACAACAAATTGTTGTCATTAATAATCAGAAAAATCACGATATTTTATTTCGTGCAAAAACATTACTTGATGTGTTGCTTACATGGAAATTTCTTTGGTAATATTAAACGTTAGCTGTGAAACATACCGACAGCAGACGATCGTACGGCAAACGTCTTTTGTTTCCATTCCTCGCTAAAGAGATCGTTCATCTGTTTCACGACTGCCGTCTCTAACGATGTACTCAGCTTTGCCTTTGTGAAGCTCTCCACGGTGGTTTTTGATAATTCCTGTAGATTGCCTTCCTTCTTCTGACTATAACCATGTAAAAGCCCCTGAGTAGCTTATATAAGTCGTTTATGAATTTCCTACAATCAGCGCAATGTGATACGAACTTAAACCATAATAGTGGGAGATACGTGCTTAAATTTATTCTACGATACTCTGCTCTTGATTTATTACTACTCCAGGTCAATAGTGTGTTCAAATTTATTTAAAGACTCACTATGCAACATCTCTAGTTTCTTTATACACGAGCACGTTAGGTTTCTGTTATCCGACTGCGATGATGTTTCAGGCCCGCACATCAATGCAAACATCTCGGTTGAACAGGAACTAGAGCGCAGAACAAGTAGTCTCAACAAATTCCTTTTCATAGCTATCCCCGACAATCGTGGCGCAGCGGTGTATATATATATACATTACATATACTGTACTCACATCCACCTACCGTATAATAAAACCTCTGGCTCTCCTCGCAACATCAAATGTCTAGCGAACACGTACAATATAACTCATTATGATCGTTTGTTTCTATATCGATTCTTTGGCGATCGTTATAAGCAGTATTCGTTTATAAATTGTTTGATGCCACAGACAACTAGTCTAACCTTGCCTTCCTCTCAACCATAGAGAATTACTTAATATGGGCAGTCACACAATCGCCAGACCGACATGTCTCGGTATTACACGTACCTTCAGCCAAGTCTAGCTCTCGGTCAGGCAAGGCCCAGTCTGCACTACCTTTAACACAACGCAAGTTGTGAGGAGGCACCATCGCCGGAATTGGTGCAGTCACAGTGTTAGTGTCTATTGTGGATTTTCTTCTCTCACATTAATGCCAAATGATAAATATGATAGAATTTAATGAAATAAACAAATAAGGCAAACAAATACACAAACACGCTATTGCATTAGATCGAAAACTTGGACATCTAAAGTTATCAATAAATACAGTAAGCCATCGAGGTGTAAAATCTAATATAGAATTACTAAATATATAATCAACGGCAGCTAATAATACCTATTATTCCAATGAGTGCTATTATTAATACCTATTATTGATCTAATAATACCTATTAGGTATTAGTCTAGCCTTTGAATTTCAATCATATATTAACTAACCATGAATAACTTATAAACAGCACACGACACAGATACAGGCGCACCGCCCGCGGGCCACGCACACAACGACACACCACACACACACAACAACACACAGCCACACACACACGACACACACACACCACACACACACACAGCACAAATAACACATATATATATATATATAACTGATAGTGCTGGATATATATGTATATAAATTAATGCAGAATCGTAAAGTTCTTTCCCATTATTTGATAGCTATTAGTGAAAGTAATAAATAAAGTCTTAGAGTCTATACTTATCATGTTGTGAATATACAGCAACCGTAAAATTGCGATGGAAATTACGAATGTCACAATCTCATGTGTTTTCTACATTTTTCTAGAAAGTGGCTCGCAATGACATTCGTGGACTGTATCGCTAAGCAAGCTGAAGATAGGCAAGTCCAAAATCACAACGACGTATGCATGCAAATTGATTGTTGGGTAGGAGGTAACGCGATTAGCAAAGATGGATAGTGTTTTCCTCTCTATTGAATTATCGCGAGTAGGAAAAATTCCTTCCTACCGTGGTTCCTTTAACATGTGGACCGATTGCTGGAAGTGTCGCTGCAACACGAGACGGTGATGTACTGAAAAGAATCGTGCACAAAAACTTACTTGGCCGTAATTCGATAGCCGTTGACAATAATCCTTGCATCACTTATCTAAAAGCACCTTCATTGTAGTCGGGGCAGTATATGTCACAAAAATAGGTCAAAATGTCAGCATCCGCAGAAAGTGTCGAAATTTTGGCATGTACAGGGGATATTTTGACATGCTGAGTGTCAAAATTGCCGGATCCAAAAAGGTCTGACCACTGATCGGCCGCCATCTTGAATTTCCAATATGGCCGCGATAACGAAAAACATTGAATATTAACTATCTCGGTTCTAAATGACCTAGGCCAGCTGAAATATAGTACAGCAAGGGCATTTCGACATGCAGGGTTTAACTAATGAATAATTTAAGATGTCTGACAAACCATATGGCCGCATCTTGAATCGCAATATGGGCCACCATACCCAAGAAAATTGAACAGTTACTATCGTGTGTTACTAATGACATGTGGCGCTTATATTTGTAGCACAAAGCATTTTGGCCCTCTGCGCGGTTTCAATAATGGAATTGAATTTGACATGTCTGACAAACCATATGTCAGCCATTTTGAAATTCCAGTATGGCCGACATAGACGAAACATTGAACATTACTATCTTGGTTCTAATTGACCTGCGGCGCTGAATTTGGTACACAAAAGACATTTTGCGATGCTGAGTCAATAATGGATTTGATGTTGAAGCATGTTCTGACGTACCATATAACCGCAGCCATCTAAAATTCCAGATATGGCCGACATGAACGAAATGCTGAAAATCTTAGGTTCTAAATCACGTAAGGCACTGAAACTTGAAAACTCAAGAAATTTTTTATATGCTGAGTTCAATGTTAATCAGAGCAAAAAGGCCTGTTCAAAATTTTCCTCATCAATATGGAAGGCACTGTAACAATGGCACGTCAACGACGTTTTCCATCCATTTAACTTCTCCTGTTGCTCATCTAGGGAAGCATTGGCTCTGGAGAGCAAGAAACACAGTTCTGTGCATGTAAGATTAGCCGCGGAAACATTTGCAAATTTATCAGAACATCGTTTCTGTACATTTGGGCACTTGATCAGCTCTCGGAACCCCTTTGCGCCCTCCTGGCAATTATTGTCCAAAATGACGCCAGCCATCATCACATTTTTCTCTTCCATCCCCAATCTGCAGGTGAAGCCAGGTGCTACTGGGTTTTGCAATTTGGAGACTGTCCCCAGATGTGACCAGGCCTGCAAGACTGCCCCTCTCACATGATTGACAGCAGTGACTCCTATCGTGAATGATGTTCCAATTGCAGATTTCCTTGAGCAAACACGCCGCTTCCGGACCGTGCTTTAGTTCACTTTCTTTCAGAGGCAAGTTCTATCTGTACCAGAAGCAAACAACAACCTCTCTATGTTGTTCGATGTCATCATTTGTTACTTGCAGCTTGTAGCATGTGAGAGAATGATAGAAGACCCTCCTCCTTCAACGTTAGCATCCGGAATTTCCATATGTTTCGCACCACGGTCCTTTTTTTTGAGCCAATCCCAAGATATGGGCAGAAACAGTATCGCATCCGGAACGCGTCAGGAACAAACAGGCCACTCCCACTGAGCGTTCAGGCCAATGTGCGTCGCAATAGTCGTGAGCAGCAATGTGCCTGAAATCGTTTCCATTTCCAAGTGCCTAACCACATTGCACAGGCCGTGCCATAACGCTTGCCATCACGCGATCGCCAACACACACCACATCGTGTCTTGTGCACGAATTACTATACTTCTGTGCCAAGCCGGTGATATGCATGCGCAAGCATGTAGCAACAGTGCGTGAATTAGCTATCTTTCATGCGTATCATGTTCAATTAATAAAAGGGGCTTTGATTTAACCTGCTTCTTCATTGGGTTGTTCCACGAAGTATTTCCCGCCAGCTTCTGGAAGCAGCCATCGTTTGCAGGGCATCTGCAAGGAAACTGAATAGTGTTTTTTGTTGAATCTACACCGAAAGAAGCTGCTCCAGTTTGCGTGGTAGCGGCGCGATGTCTGTTCAGCGTCACATGAGTGGTATGCCAGTGTAGCCACGACCAAGCCTGGCTCTCCTTTAGACTGTCCGTCTTCTGTAGGTGTCCCACACTAGACACTTCAACACGCAAACAGAACTCCTCGTTTAACTTTCGAGGCGGAATGTACGGAAGGAACTGTTCTGCTGCATAGTCACCAATTCCTGACCACACCACTGTTGCAGCGTTCGTAGGCTCCAACTGGTGGACTTTTTTAAGGCAGCCCCATCAAAAATGCTAATACTCTCTTTCGGCATATCATCGTTAGGACGTGGCGTTAATCCTTCCAACCACGGCGAAATGTTTCTTCAGGCTTTCCGCGGTCGCGTGGGCGCATTGTATTTATATCTTCAGGCCAATGCGGTGGGCCACCCATGACACTCATGTTCAAAGATGTATCCAGATCACCATCTCTGCTTGGCAAGAAATGTAGGCATTTGTGGCAGACAGCTGCACAGTACTTTTCATACTTGTCATCTTTTTTTAACTTGTAATTGTTTTGTTCCCATGTGTGTTCTTGGCTTCGATTTGAAACAGTGGCAGATTGTTCTTGAAATGGTATCAAATCGAAATTGAACGGAAGGATCTTGATTCGCTGCTCCACAAAATCTTCAAATCGTGTTTGGGCCAGTGTCCTTCCACGGATCGCACTTGTGGGGCTTAAATCAAACTGTCATCCCAGGCATGATGACTTTGGCGTCAAGCACATACAGGTCTTTACTGTTTTTCCAGGCGAACGCGTTTCCCTAGTTTTTCTATCAAATGAACTGCAATTGTATTACTGAAGATCTGATGCAAACCGATTTCTGGGAGGACACAGAAGCATTGTTCGTGTGCGGACATCAGCTTGCCGACTGTCTGTTGAAACTGTCGGCTCAAACTCCCTCAGGATTCTGGCTATTTTTCTGCACGCACCCACGCATCCACGCGCGAAGAGCCCCTTCATTCCGGTAATTCCAAATACCTCCCCATCACGGCATTTCACTATATGCTATAGAATTCACGAGATGGAGCTCCAACGGAAAATCGTTTGGCAAATCGCTGCAGCGGTGCGTACCATATGTGTCTGTGCGCGGCGCCGTGTGCGCACATGTTTGTGTGTGCGCGCACGCGTGCGTACTGTATGTAGTGCGCAGCGGTGTGTGTAGTAGATAGTATTGTTCAACATTTCGTCTGTTGCCATACTGGAAATTTAAGATGGCTGCCATATGGTTTTTGGAATCAGACATGGCAATCAAATGCCCATTAATGAAGATCAGCATGTCACAAATGCTTCTTGTGTACCAAATTTCAGCGCCGCAAGTCCATTTAGAACCCAAGATAGTAATGTTCAATGTTTCTCCATGGTCGCCATTGTTGGAAATCAAATGCCTGCCATATGGTTGTCAGACATTTCAAAATCAATCGCATTATTGAAGTCAAGTAATGTCAAAATGGCTCTGTGTACAAATTTCAGCGCCGCAAGTCATTTAGAACCCAAGATAGCAATGTTCAATGTTTCCGTCAAATGGGCCATATGTGGAATTTAAATGGCTGCTATATTGTTATTGTCAGACATTTCAAATCAATCATTATTGAAGTCGCATGTCAAAATGCTCTTGTGTACCAAATTCAGCGCCGCAAGCATTTTAGAACCCAGGTATACGTAATGTTCACATGTCGTTATGGTGGCCATATTGGAATTCAAATGGGCTGCCATATGGTCTGCAAACATGTCAAATCAATACCATTATTGAACTCAAAGGATGTCAAAAATGCCTTGTGTACGCAAATATAACACCACATGTCATTTAGAAGCGCCAAGATAGTAATGTTCAATTTTCGTATGGTGCCATATGAATCAAGATGGCGGCCGTCGCATTAGCAGATCTCTTGATGCCGCATTTTTAAAATCAGTGCCCAAAAATACCCTGTAATACAAAATTTCAACCCTTTCTGCCAGATGTGAACATTTTTTTCACATATCTGCCCCACATATTGAGCGTCACCACACATTCACAATTACAAAATATAACACGTACAACACGTACGTACACAACGACGCACGCACGCAACGGCACGCACGCACAGCACGCGACGCGCATGCGCGCACCGTAATACCTACCCACACCACACACACAGCCACGACACACACACACACACACACACACACACACACACACACACACACACACACACACACACACCTGTACATGTACTCAGTAACGCCCCAGCCCTTGATTCCATTGATCGTTACATCGGTGAATTGTTCATGAATCCTGACGCTCCATCTATCTCCCGCATAGAGAATCTGCTCCTGCTTCTTCTCTACCGTAACAGTGCAGTCAAGGTGGCCTGCGTGAAAACATAGATTACATGAAAAAATATATTCCTAACAATTACTTAATTTTTAATTAAATCGATTACGCTCACGATGAAATTCTTGTCTTGTGTCTATACGACTAACTGAACACCTAGTATTGCTTACGTTTGATTACAGCGTGGTGTATACCTAACCTAAGCAGATGACATTATTAACTAATATACCGGCAAGAGCGTTGAAGCTGAATTTGTCGGGATGCTGCGTGAACTGTCCGAGCCGCGATAAGTGCAGATCGCTTGATTTCAGCACACACACCTGTCCACTCGGCAAGACAACGTATCCGCTAGTGATGCTGGGAAAACGAAGAAAATGTGCTGGAAGGCAAAGTCTTTCATTATGCTTACTACATGATTTTTTTTATTCTACATGGAAAGTGACAGCTGATTGAGATTATCGCAAAAGCATTTTCGAGATTATTTTCGAGATATTTCGGGAGAGAAAAAGGAGCCCAAAATACCATAATAACTAGATGAGGTGTTTAATAAGACTAGGCTGTATCAGAAATAACTAAATTCAAAATCAACGAGATTATCTAAAATTTTTTTGGTTTTGATTATTTAACCCTGGTTGTATGATTAGTGCTAAAAACCTATACTAGTGTGGTACCTAGAAACCACGCACATTATTAGAGTTTAGAAAAACATTCACATGTATTACTCGCCTATTGAATATATCTTTAGATTGTATAAAATATTAAGTTAAGTAGAAATATCATTAGAAGCAAGTAAGCTATATGTGTTTATCACGGATACTTATATTTTATACCGATATCATATCATATGAAACTGGAACTTGTACTTACTGGGAAGCAAGTGAGGGAAGACTTGCTGCCAAAAAGGAGAAGAATGTTCCATCCTTCAACAAAATAATAATATAATTAATATATCGACAAGTTGTCGTGGAGAACCTTTTACAAGTAGTGAACTATTAGCGTGAAAATCAAAACATGCACGCTGTCGGGGTTTCGCGTACAAAGATTAAAATGACGTTCGACATTTATATATTAGTTTTAGTTAGTATATTAGTAACAGTATCTGGCTATAAATTGATGGGAATATCTTAGTGATTTATCAGAAATACCATTTCGCGCGTGTTCGCATGGAATGGCGCCACTGGCGCGTAATTTGCGTATCACTCTATGAGAACACTAAGAGGGGGAACAAGCTGCTAACCTCCAGATATCCCCAGTTAGCAATGTATCTGTTGTATGTGCTCCAGTCTCGGATGCCCCATGCATGCTCCCTGACTCCTCTTAACAGCAGCTTCTTCTCCGGCTCTCCTTCCACAGTCAGCTCACCATGTAATTGTGCGCAAACCTCATACTTGTGGTTTTCTTTGCTATAGATAGAATGTGGAGGGCGTAGTAAATTTTTTTTTTTTCATTTGCATTCAATAGTTCAAGATATTGTCAAAGTAATAAACATGGTAAGTACAATTTCATGAAACATACCTGTATTTATTTAAGCGTTGAAGGTAACTAGAGCTCCATGGTTCTCTAGCAACAACATCGGAAACCACAGAAAGATCGTTGTCATCAATGTATGAGAACTTCCCAGAAAAAGACGTACACCTGCCAAGAATTGTTTTTTGATTATTTCTTACGATAGGCTATGGTGAGGTCATGCACCGCGATGGCATAAAATGCAACGACGGAACGAAACGCTTACAACGCAACGCATAGTAACGCAGCATAAAGGGGTTAATTTAAAAAAACAATTATACCTACCTCATACACTGTTTTTGATAAACCTCAAAGGGCACAGGATTTAACTACCCTGGCGGAGATATCCGTTACAAGTCGTCCAATAGTAATCGTCGTTATAATTCAAATACGTAAAATGGTTATAATCCTGGTAGATAATACGAGGAAAACAGTCGAAAAACAAAAAACAACAACCCATAATTAGAGATATGACGTATACGTACACGAATGCAAATTTAACGTGCACTAGAATGCCTTCATCCTCTATATCCAGCTCATTTCTTTGACCGTCCCTGAAATAATAAAAAAACGGGTGTGCATAACCCACAGCAAGAAGGAGACGCTAGTTCTTGTACTAAACAACGACCGCGTCCATGATGGAATTTACTAAGAATGATACCTGAGGCGGCCATTGAATGTCACTCGCCACCTCAGCATCGGGTGCAGAACTTCAAACTGCAAGCCTCCTGCAGTGAATGTTTGTCCGTCGGTGTTGTAGACAGTTGTGTCGGGGAAGCTGGGGAAGTGAAAGTAACGTCCGTCCTCGAGCTTCAGCATCAACCATACCTGGAACAGATAGCTGCCATCACCATCGATTCTGTACCCGTTATTCTCTCCCACTCTCTTTCTCTTTCACGCATATTGATACACACTCTTGCCTATCTTGTTTCTCTGTTTCTCTCTCTCTCTCTCTCTCTCTCTTTCTCTCTCTCGCTCGCTAGCCATCTCACTCGCTCTCGCTCTCTCTCCCTCTTACGCTTTCTCTTTCTTCCACTCTCACTGTCTCCATCTCCCCCTCCCTATTTCTCATTCTCCTTCCATTCCTCTCTCCCTCCCTCTCTATCTTTCATTCTCCTTCCATTCCTCTCTATCTCTTATTCTCTTTTCCATTCCACTCTCCCTCGCTCCCCCGCCCTATTCCCATCCGTCCCTCTCTCCCTTCCTCCCCTCCTCTCATCCTCTATCTATCCCTCCCTTTCTCCTTCCCTACCCTTGCTTTCTCACTATTGATTCTAAACCTGATACCCGCTTCCGTTAATTTTAAAGGCTTTTATTAGTTAAACAATAACGAACTTCGAGTCAATAATACTGTATCTGCCGGTACTGTATACTGCCACTTCGGCGAGAAATGTGTAACCCTCAACTCTTATATGTGATCTACTTCGCACCTCTGCAGTTCTTCCGTGCAGACGCGTGATACGCGCCACCAACATGTTTCCACGGCTGTCCACTCCATTAAAAGATACACAGTCAAATGCCTGCAACAGTACGTTCAGCATGCATGGTCACATGGCACGATCACAATATACCTTGCCAAAACGGAGAAGGGTACAGTGAGGTGGATATATAATGAGGTGGATGTGTAATACAATATGATGACGAGATTCAACAAAACTGTATATGCGGGAACTACACATGATAGCTACCAGCATATACGCACGTGGCGCGTAAGTATTCACTAAAAAATGGTCATCTTCGTAAAAATTGCAAATAGGAATTATAAAACTATAAGCAATTGGGATCTCTCTCTATATATATATCCCAATTGCTGATAATTTATATATATATATATATATATATATATATATATATATATACTCGTACATTTTGATCGACGTCTAGTGGTTGCGTTAGTTCTTGCTGAGCACCAAGATCTCGTAAGTTTATTCGCGTGCGGCCTATTCGTGGACGTAGTCCGTCGTCAGGCCGCCTCCATCTCCAAACCACACAGTAAATGTACACGACTACAATACTGATAGTGTACCAAGTACCTGTCAATACAGTCGCCGAGTGTTGTACATTGAATCAAGGCGTTCCGTTCAATGTGTGAAGAAAAAACTAAATTATGAAATAGCCCCACCCTAATGAATTTAAGTCGGATGCCTTATGCCAATAAAAAGTTAATGATTTTATTATTTAGTTATACAGTATTACCAGTTTTATCCAAGTGTATGTGATAAAAGATTTCAATAGCCTTTATGGATTCTTGTGATTTTCCATTACAAAATCCGCCAAAGCTAACATGTGTGTGGCTATATATGACGTGTCGGACGCTATGTTACATACACCTTCTGCATAAGTCTGCTTCACTCGTTACTTTGCTCTACCTCAAATGTGGATGCAAATGCACTTATATATTATATTTTCCATATACGTTATCTCGAAATGATGCAACACGTGCATAAATACAAAATGCACGCAATTCGCTCTGTTGCAATTCTATGCAGAATCACACATTCGTGGTGTCTTTCACAGCTAGGCTGTACGAATTATACCAATCACTCTCAAGTCTAAACGATGGGTTAATATACTCTGCTTATATGTAAGCGGATTAGTTTCTTACCTGCTTGTGCATATTGGCACAGCTCAGTCGTGGAGTGCGAGAATAACATACATTGAGATTACAGTATGCAGCTGCCAGTACGAACACTAGTTGAAAAAACATTTCTAAAGAAACTATCCTTTGGTACCTCGATTCGAAGCTACTATATGCATGAGTCCGGCTCGGGTAATGCACCGACCTAGAACAGTGTCTAGTATATATATAAGTGTATACGTATGATTATTCAGGGCCGATTACAGAGTTATCTCCTCCGTGGCACTTCGCCGTAACGAAAAACCAAACCACTTAACCACGCGCCAAGCTTACTTGCGCCAGGCTATCGATAGAGATTAGTGAACAAGTTTTTTTCAAGCTGATAGTTTGACAGTGCCGAATTGAACTATCAGTCGCATGACGTCTAACTACGCATGTGAATGATCGTGATCGTATGAGTGTTTTCTATGTTACTGTAATTTAGTATGAGCCTGCTGCGATTTCCTTGCCACATAGAGCTTATATTAGTATGCTTCGCCTCAATTGATTAAATGAGCAATGTCATGTGACAAACTAATTAGCGCTTGTAAATCAAAAATATTTATAAGTCAATGACAAACAATGACTATTAACTCTAACTACTACTACTACTACTACTACTACTACTACTACTACTACTACTACTACTACTACTAATGCAGTGGCCTTAGGGGTAGCCGACTACGGTATGACAGGCGTTATATATAGTTAAGCGCGTGTTTAGTTGTGTGGATTCATTGTTCGTCTCCTGCCGTAAGGAAGGGACGGTGATGCAGTAGCACATAACAGGTTGTACCAGTGAAACAGAACACAGTTATATCGCGGTTAACTGTAGCGTTATAGTTTTATTGTTTTTACTAGCATTACAAATAATTCCCCTGCATTCGTAGATGCCGCTGATCTGTATCGATCTCGTATATGTAGCTTTCGCTACTTAGTATGCGTTACAAGTTATCTGGTTTGCCGTTATCGCGATTATCAGTACAGCGTGAAGCGCTTGTTCGTTGTTGTTAACTATAGCCACTAGACTAGAACGCGTCGCCGGCTTCGTCTTCCCCTCTCCCGTCGTCCTTCTTCGCGTAGACGCTAGGTAGCCTCTAAGGGTGTTTCCTTCGTAGTCGCTCTTGGCTCTACCTACCTGAAATCCCGTGCTTCTTCCTTCCCGTTTTATTCCCTGTACCCGTAGTTCTACCTACCTGAAAACCCGTGCTCCTATGCCCTCTTCTATCTCCCCGGACCTAATATGCTTTTCTTCTTCTTCTTTCTCTTGCTTCTTCCTACCTAAACCTAACCTGAAAATAACCCTCTCTCTGCTCGGTTCGGCGCGCCTTTATATACCTAGCTGGCCGCGCCCCCTACGTGCCGTGTTAAGTACGCGTCGTCAAAACACTAACTCCCCACGCACGATTTTCGTGGCGGCACGATTTGCTCTCCCTGCTGAGCGCAAACTCGTTTCTAAGGTAAAATATTCCTCCTCTTCGAACGAAACCTAGACTATATCATTCTATTCAAATCTCCCCGTATAGTGTATGGCTGATTAATTAGTACAGTAAAACCGTTGATCTCATTGAGTTCTGCTATATCATCGCTGTGTTTCGTTACAGTTCCTTGTTTTTCCTAGACCGGCTCCATATGTAATGATCCGATGCTGCGACCAGGTGTTATCTCATGTAGCTGCTGTCTATATTTTATCCGTCTTAGTCATAATATATGGTTATCTATCTATAACTGCCGAGTTGCCAAACTATCCATCCTGATTCGGTCTGACTGCTCAGTGGGAGGTTACACCTTCGAAAGTCTCATCTACACTACTACTACCCAGCTAACAAGTTATGTTTCCTGGAATGTATCGAGGAGAGTTTGTGTTTTTAGGTAGCAGAACAGATTATTCGAGCATCCGTTCTAAAATAACGTGTTCCTTGGAAAGTTTGTCCCGACATTCTGGCTGACGAACGTTTTTACAAAACATTCACCAGTAACATTGAGTCAACCTCCGGCAAAATGACCATATAACTGCAGCAACACTACGTATGCGTCTGCAGTCTTTCTTAATGTCTCCAGTACGCTAGTACCATCACACACCACACACACACACACACACACACAACACAAACAAAGTACAAAACAGTA